AGAACCAACTGCCTGTTTGCTGCTGGAGAGAAATCCTTACATAGGATTCTGTGCAATCACAGAAGTCATCTGTGCTATTTGTGTGAAGTAGGAGAAAATTTTTTCTCTCTTTTCTAATTTATTAAAACAGGAAAAGTAGCGTTAACGTGTACTAGTTATTTTAAGAAACAAGAACAGTATTATTCTATTTTTCAAAATATTGTTAGAGACCCTATCAACATTTAATCTATGATCTTACTAGCCTCTTATCTCAACACCCTCTAGTGAAGTCTAATGTTCATCAAAATAACAATCCTATTATTTAATGCTTAGTTATTATCATGAGGTAATATCTGGAAATATAGGATGTTATGATTACATCCAGACGTCCCCCTAAAGCCTTGCTGGATCACAGGTGGGAACTTCAGAAGGTGATTCAATTATATCTGACTTGCTATTAGAGAAACTGGAGGCTGGATGGAAAAGGTGGGTCACTGGACCTGGAAGGTTATATCTCCCTTCCTGTTTTCTTCCTTGACTTCCTCTGCTGCTCTGTTCACTATGCCATGAACAGCTTCTCCTCTGCCACGCTCCTGCGTCATGCTGTCCTTGGATATGAACTTCTACTGTGAGCCAAAATAAACCTCTTTTCTTTTAAGTTGTGGGTGTTGGGCATTGTGTCAAACTGACAAGAAAGTGACTGCTTTGGTACCCAGCATAGGATCACTGCTGTGATGCTATCTGACCAGGTGGTTTAGAAGCCTTTGGAACTGGTTCATGGGAGGAGTTTGGGAAGGTTTGGAGATACTGGCTAGAGAAGCCCTAGAATGTTCTAAGTCAAGCTTGATAGAAGATTCTGGACAGAGCTTAGAAGATCAGAATGCTAACAGAAATGCAGATGGTAAAGACCAGACTCAGGAGGTTTTCTTTGGGAACAAAGACCTCAATGGTAGTTGAACTCCAGACGATGTGTGTTATGCTCTGGGAGAATCTGTGTCTATATTTTGCTCATGTTCAGAGACTTTGTGGGAGTTTGAGATTAAGAGTGACAAACTATGGCTGAGTAACTTCCAATGGAGCCTAATGTTAAGGCTGTGCCTTGGGTGCTGTTGGGGGCTTTTAGCCTCAGATCTACACTGAGCATCAAGAGCAAATGGAACATCTGAGTCATTTAAAAAGTTTTGACATAGGGGAAGGGAAAGTGGGAGGGGTAGGGGAAAGGAATGAAGGGAATGGAATTAATATAGGAAAATGGAAAAATGGAAACAAAGTCATTGTAAATAGGGAGGGATAGAGGGATTGAAGGGAGGGCAGGGGAAGGGGGACAAATAAGAACCAAGGGAGACTATGTAAAGATGCAAATTTCCAATGATGAATGTCATGGTACTGTATACCTAAAATGTACCAATGATTAGAATGAATAATTGATAATGTGAAATAGGAAGAAAAGGTCCACAGGGGTAGGGGAAGTGGGAGGGGCAGAGGAAAGGAAAGAAGGGAAAGGAAAAATTATGAGAAATGGAAAAAATGGAAACAAAGTCTTTGTAAATAGGGAAGGGTGGAGAGGGTGAAGGGAGGGCTGGGAATGGGGAAAAAATAAGAACCAAGATACATCATGTACAGATACAAACGCCCAATGATAAATGTATTGTATACCTAAAATTTACCAATAAAAGAATTTAAAAAAAAAAAAAGTTTTGAGTTTGGCCAGAAAGGACACTCTAGTAAAGTTGGAGCCTATAAACTTGTAGCACAGGATAAACTGGCTGTTGGAAAGATTTGAATGAAGAAAAAGCCATGTACTTTGGATTAGAACAACAGGAAAGATGGCTTGAGGGCATGTCTGCAAAGAGCAAGACCCCACTCTTTTGCTTGCAAAAGTGAAACATTTTGCTTTAAGAGGATCCCAGGGCACTCTGTTGGAGAAAGGCAGCCTAGGAAACTGATTTCCCAGGATTCAGTTCATTACGGTCAGTCATCAGAAAGGGGCTAGCAGTTGCTCCATATGTTAGTAGACCTTGGAGTCATCCAGGAGGTGCTAGTTTATTTGCATGCAGAATGTAGGAGTTATGGGGCCATGGAAGCTTCCATCCAGATTTCAGAAGGTCTGGGAGTCAGACAGTGTGCCTGAGAGGGCAGTGCATGAAGCTGTGAGAGTAAAGCCAAAAACGTAGTGGAGATTCCAGAAACTTGGAAAAGCCAGGAATGTGGATTGTCTCAGGAAAGTCACACGGAATGAGTAAAGCTAGTCCAAAAGAGAAATCATAAGGGCTACAACCATAGGCAATGCTTTAGAGGTGGGGCCACTCTAGGCTGAATCTCAATGGCACAAGTTAGACTTTGGATCTCACTGTCCCAAATTGCCCTGGTGCTGGACACAGAACTCTTGAATTTAATGTTTGCCCTGCTAGGTTTTGATTTTGCTGTGGTCCCATTGGTTTCTATTCCTCAACTCCTCCCTTTCAGAATGGGTGTGTTCACCTTTTGCCATTATATGTCAGCATTGTTGAACTTATTTTTACAGAGGCTCACAGCTAAGAGTTTGCCTTATGTCTCAGAGAAGATGACTTTGGACTTCTCAGCAATGCTGAAACTGTTAGGAGACTTTGATGACTCTTAGAGATGAACTAAATGTATTTTGCTGAGAGTTTGCCTTAAGTCTCAAAGACGACTAGATTTAGGGTTGTTAGGAGTCTGGAAAATGTTAGAGATGAACTAAAACGCATTTTGGACAAAGGGATGGTCACGAGTCTTTGGGGGGGGTCAGGGGCAGAATGTATGTTTTATATCTAGATGTCTCCTCAAAACCTCACACATTCATAGGTGGGGATTTTGGGGGGATGAATGGATCATGGGGGTATGATACTTATTAATGGATTAGTCCACTGATGAATCTATAGCTAAATGTGATACTGTGGGGTACAGACTGATTGGAGAAGGATCACTGAGTGTGTGACCCAGGAAGTTTGTATCTCCCTTCTGGGCTCCTCCTTTGACTGTTACCCATCCAGCCTGCTTCAAGCAGGTCTCCTGTGCCAAATCCCTTTGCCACACGGTCCTGCTTGGAAGCCTGCACACCACAGACTATAAGTATAAAACAAAAGAAATTGCTCCTCCTTTAAGTTGTACATGTTGAGTATTAATGTGTCTCAGAATGAGAAGGCAACTAACAAGATGTAAGAATTCCTGCATAACTGTTTAAAATAAAGTTTGAAATTCATATTTACATGCACTGGATTTAAAAGGAAACTTCACATCTTTTCATTAGTTATTATTACATATTTATAGTATTTGACACTACAGCAAATTTTCAAACAGTCCAAAAAAATCTGGCCATTGCTGTAAACATCAAACAAAAATGAAAACATCTTCCTTGTTCTATGGAGCTGTTAAAATGGGAAAATACTAAAAAATAATTCCCTGGTCATATGAAATTATTTAAAATCAGTATGATATTATGATGTCTTATTCACAATGCTACAATCAACATTGCTATGTTTTATTCACAATTCTATTGTGAATAAGTTTCTACAGTTTTTTTAAGCCTTTACGTTATCAACTGAAGCAAGGTAAGCAACAAGGGTAAATGGAGTCATAAAGTTCTTTTCTTCTGTAATTAAGTAGTTATCTTGCTTTATCCTAGTCTTCCATTTCACTCTCCATCCCTTCAAAGCTATTTGCGCCCAACTACCACCACAGGAATTCCTACCTCTTCTTTAACCATTCACCTATGCAAAGAAAACCAACTAGTCCATTATCATTCTTCCAAACAGATTACTCCCATAAGACATTCCTTGGGCTTGAAGCCACACATGACTCTGAGTGGTATGACCCATGTCTTAGTTACTTTTCTTGTTGCTGAGACAAAATATCTGATACCCAAAAGTTAAAGGAGGAAAGGTTTATTCAGATCACAGTTTGTAGAGGTTTCATTCTATAGTTGGTTGTTTTCCAAGCAGGGTGTCATGGCAGAGGGGCATCAAAGAGGAAAAACATTCAATGATGTGGTAGGCAGGAAGTCAGCAAGCAACCAAAGCAACAAGCAGTAGGAAGCCTGCCTCTCTCTTTTATCCCATCCAGGCTCCCAGCTTTCTGGGTGGTGCTAACCACACCCAGGGTAGACCTTCCCTTATTCACCCTTTAATCCCAGCATTATACCCTTAATCGAAGTATCATATCCTAATCTAGCCACCTTCAAAACTCCCTATGTATGAGCACATGGGGCTTTAGGGGAACATCTAGATGTAAGCCATAACAGCATGCGCATACATACACACACACACACACACACACACACACACACACACATATATATACACGGTTATTGTTATCCTGTTTTCCTGATGCAATTTTTGGAAACCATACTCTTAAAAGTACTAGCATGCAAAAACAAAACAAAACAAAACAAAACAAAAATACCAACAGTAGAACTCATTCTCTGAGGTTTTATTTGTTGTTTTTAGGAAATGAGAGGTTTCATCTTTTTAAAAAATGCTATTCTAGGGAACACGGAGGACATTTTCATACCTACCTATTTACAAGAGAAAAATCAAACAATCATTTTTACTTCATCTTTAAATACAATAAAGGACTAGCCTGTTATACATGGCAAAAACTATATTTCACAAAATGCAAGGAAGTGATATGTAATATTTATAACTTCTATTGAATCACATATGAGCACACCTTGCTAGGAGCTATTCAGAGTCAAATGTTGAAGAGTTAATTGATTGTAAGACTTTTTCTTTTCCAAATAATAAAATGTTTAGTTTATTTTATCTTCCTAAAAGCATCTTCAGATGTTAAATAATTTTGTATACACAGAATTTCCAGTATTTATTATTTGCCACTTTCAGCAAAACTAGAATGGCAAAGAAGGATCAATACAACAAAGACATATAGAAAGTAAACCAGGAATTGTTATATTCAACAAACATTCTCTCAACTGGGATAAAGGTGCTGCTTAATAGGATAAAGGATGAAGTAAAAATAAAACATTTTCAATATAAATTTGTACTTACTGTGATATTTAAATATATTGTTCGCTTTTGATCATCATAACTGACATATGCTGATTTTACACCAATGTACTTCACATCAATGGATCGAGGGAAAAGGAAAAACACAGCCAATCCAGAAAGGAGCAGACAGAAAAACACAGATGCCATCACGTACAGCTTCCTGAAAAGGAAAAGGAGTACTAAAGTATATTTGCATCAAAAATTACATAATGAGGGCCAGGGATTTAGCTCAGTGATGCTGTGCCTGCCTCACAAGTGCAAGGTCCTGAGTTTGATCCCCCAAAAGACAAAAAAATTACATAATGATACATTTAGAGAAGATATTTTCAATCTGAATATTTTTCTAATATATCATACCAGCAAGAAGACATATATAATTTCACTAGACAGTCACACTCTGAAAGTACTAGCTAATATTTTGTCTGATTCTACTAAGCATTAAGATGTTCTCCTTGGAAGATGAATTCACTTGTGTGGAGAATGGGATTCCAGATTTATAATGACTGTTTACTGAAGTAATTCCCAAACCAGATTTCACAGTAGCTTCAAGCCTAGGAGCTCTATACAGACACAGATTTCAAAGTTTCCTTCTGAATTCACTGAAGCAGAGTTTTTACATGTGAGTTTCACCATGACATGGTCTCCTAAAGTGATCGCTCATCAGAATCACCTGGGAAGCTCTTTAAAATAATGACATAATGACATGTTTCATCACTCTCAATGCTAGGATTAGTCTTTTTTTGAGTCTTGTCAGCCCCAAATACTTACGTACTTAGTATAAAAAACACTGTTTACCTCGATCAACTTGGGTTTGAAGTTGTTACAGTTTTTTAATCAATTAAAGAGAAAATATTTGCAGTTATAGGAAAAAAAGAACTCAACATGCCTTGACTATCCTTCTAACTCCCTGGCAATATATATCCCCTTTCTTTACGCTATTGTCTTTTTAATCTCTATAAAGAACAATTTCCTCTTTTCTTAAAGATATTCTCAAAGCTGGTTTCGAATTTCCTAATCTCTCCAATACATAGCCCTTTTCTGAAAGGCCTTTTCATTCTAAGTCTGATATATCTTTCTGATAGTATGATTATACAAAAAAACTTTTTCATTCTTTCTTCCATATTCTCCTTCCAGCCAATTTTCTATGCCTTTATGAAGTTAATCATTGCATGCCTCACAACAGTGATTAAATAGCCTCCTAAGAATGTTTCATTATTTCATCTGAATATTCTAATATGCCTAAGTGAGGAAAAAGAGAGCAAATGGTTTATCAAAAAAAAAAAACCCAAAGTAAACAAAACTTTGCTAAATTGCTACTCTTAAGCCAATGCTATTGTATTAAGCAAACCAATTCACACTCACTTTGTACTTTCTCAACCTGCTCAGATAGAAATCACTACAGGGTTAGTAGTAAGTCATTTAAATACCTGTTCGTAGAATCTACAATCTACCCAAACATATAAAAAGGGTACAAAAATATTTAAAAACGTAATAAAAAACTGAGGTTTGGCAGATTTTTCTATATATTCAGTGTTTTGTTTTTCAATTACTTTTGGGTGAGTGAGTCTACCATTTTCAAATCAGAGCTTAGGGCCTGTAATTCAGTTCTAGTTGTAAATATATAAATCTCAATTACTATTCACATTATTTATAGCTATAGTAAATATTACTGAACCCAATAGGACCATAAAATAACATTCCATGTAGAATTCACTTCAAATTGAAAAAATGGCAAGTTCACAACAAAGTATGTGCATTTTTTTTTTTACAACATTCAATGGTAATAGATTTTGTTACGATCCTAGGGCCAGCAACTGAATCATGGGAGATAAATAGTACTGATAAAGTTACAAAGCTTGTGTAGTATATGTGGTGTCAAGTTAGAATTCTATTGCTATTTTCTATTTGCACTCTTTAAGGTAATTTAATTCTTTAAATTGTATAGATTTTAGTGCTACATGACATAGCTAAAGTATACAAAGCAATTAATAAATAATTTTTGTAAATATCTCACTGTAACCCTCTCAACTTGTAAAAAAATAAAAGCTTCTGAGTTCTTCCTAAAATAATATTTAATTTTTACTACAGATTGAGAAACAACTCTTTCTGGCCTGTGTGAGCATTGCAGACTGTTCCCTCTGCTCCCTCAGGGTAGTATTTCCCCAATCTCAGGTACTTTGTCATACACTATGCTGCTCAGGACACAGTTGCAGGCTAACAGCACCCTCTGTAGCTCTCTAACCTTCTGCTGTGCTCTACGCTAACTCTAGGCCTGTTGGCCTCTTGGACCCTCAGGTCAACTTCCTTACTTCAGGGAGGCAGCTAAGTTCTGCCTACATTTCCTTCCTTTTGGTATAATCTGCAACCTGTTTCCAGATAGTAAGCAGAGCAACAGTGTGGTTTAACTCATTTTGTCTTCAGTGATGTCTTCCTATGCAGCCTGAGATTCACTGTCTGAAAATATTTCGTGTATTTGTCAAGTTTCTTAATTATTTTGGATTGGAGGGTAAACCCAGTGTCTATTACTTCCATCTTCAAATCCAATATATTTCATCTTGTATCTCTTTCCATCTATGCTGAAAATTTTGTTCCTTAATAGCATTTATCTACTTATTTGCTTTATGTATAAAAATTTGAAAATTACTCCAAGAATACTAACAATGCATCTACTGAGTACAACTTAAAATTTGTTGTGGTTCTGCTTGCCATTTAGAACATCTCATTAGATTTTGACAATCTGTCAAAATACAATAATTTTAAGTCACTTTAAGTCGGCTGTATTTATTCATCAACTCAATATAACTAGAATCATTTGTTTCTTTTTATTTCAATTTTAGGAGCTACTTTTTTTAATATTTGATTTCATCTCTTACGTTAGGTAAAAAGATAATGGTTGTAAAGCCCAGTCTTACTTGCTTACCTGTTCCCTCTCAAACTCTGAGAGCAACTAATTTTATTAGTTATTGGCTTGTTTTCATTTTTTGTGGGTATGTATAAATGTGTGCATGTAGAATGTGTTTTCAAATAAAAATGTGCTCTGAATATCACCCTGTAGTAAGATACAGTTCCATCTCATTTCATTTTACCATCAGGTACACAAAGCATTAATCTACCAGTCCTCTATTATTTGTTATTTACATTATGTTAGATTTTTGCTACTACAAACATTGGCACATGAGTAATATGTACAAATGCTAGTTACTCTGACAACTATCCTTAAAATAAATTTTTCAAAGTAGAGTTCCTGAACCAAGAGCAAATTCATAATTTTGCTAGATAATGCCAAATTGCCATTCACTAGCAAGGCATGTGCGTACTTCTTTTTAGTGCCAATATGCTAGCAAAATTTTGGATTTCAGCCAGTCTGATAGGAATGGTATCTCAGTGCAGTTTTCTTTTCTATTTCTTAATGTGCAACATTAAACATCTTTTAATGTGTTCAAGATCAATGGCATTGTGTGTGTGTGTGTGTACATACACTAGGTGTTCATAATTTCTATTTTTTTCCTTTGGGTAGTTTCAGTTTTCTTAAAATTTTAAGCTCTGTAGAGTAAGCGTATTGGCCCTCTGGACATGATATGATTTTCAGACATTACTTCCTAGTCTGCCATTTGTAACTGTACTTAAATTAAGGTTTTGTTTTCAACCTGTAAAAGTTTATTTATACTATGTCAAATTCATTTCACTTTTCTTTCATCACTGCTAGTTTCTAAATCACAGTTGGAAACATCTTCTCACTTTGATGTTATAAGAGTCTTTAACCCTAATTTTTTTCATCTTGGTATATTTCTATACATTTTATAACAGTGGCTCAGAACTTTTATATAAACCTCAGTTCATTTTGTTTTTCATAAACATTTTACAGTAAAGAGTCAGAATGTCTATATAACCCTCAGTTCATTTTATCTCAATGATTACTAGATATGCTGCTCTACAGCTTACTAGTTTGAAGCACTGTGGTTAAGAAGTAGCATGTCAATCTGTTATTCTACCCCTTATAAATTGAATTAATCCATTTGCTTGTATGTTCAAAGGTTTAAGACTTCAAAATTCAGGACTCTCACTAGAATGGATTTTCTTGTTTTAGTTTGTTTTTTGTTTTTATCAAGTCGGCGGTGTGCATTTTTAATATGTAGTATCACATCATTTTTTATTTCATGGTTGTGTTCTTGAATTAAATGTTTACTATTTGTTCTGTTCTATTCTTTTGATTTTTTTCTTCAGGGGCTTCAATAACATACATATACATTTGAGTCCCTCCTGCCATCATGGTTTGAATACCCATTATCTTGGCATGAATTGGAATACCTCATCACTCGTTTCTAATGAAAACAGCACATGTGTGTTCCCTACTGTTATTCTAGATCTATTTTAATAAGATGTGAGAAGACAAAGACATCATACTGTTTTCAAGACCTCACCCCAACCAGAAATCCTTTTCATGTAATGATACAAAGCATATAATGGTGTATCTTAACAACCTGATAGCAATTTTCCTGTGTGTGTGTGTGTGTGTGTGTGTTTGTGTATGTGTGTTTGGTACCAGGGATTGAACTCGGGACCTTGTGCTTGTGAGGCAGTATGTGTGTTTTGTGAGGAAGGGTCTATGTAGTTCAGGCTGGCCTTGAACTGTAATTTTCCTTTTAACTAGAGTAATTATTGCTATATAATCTGATTTTTGGGGGGGGTACCGGGATTGAACTTGGGACCTTGCGCTTGTGAGGCGGGCAGTGGCACCACTGAGCTAAATCCCTGGTCCTATAATTTGCAATGAAAAAAGATATAAAAACCAAACCAGACAACTTTATTATTTTCTTATAAATCACTTACGTTCTTCTTGGCCTTAATCTCTGATCACTATATGGAATCAATGCCACCAGTTGGTTTTCTTGTCCTAAAAGTAAAAGCAGGAGGTTTAAATACTTATTAAAATGATTAAATAAAAATACAGTTGTACCCTATCATAATATACTTTAGATACCTCAGAAATCCATCTGGCTCTCATCTCATTCTCTTAGAAAATTCCTCTCCAATTCTTCAAAAATTATCTAGCGGAAATTGAGTTCTAGAGAAGACACTGTAACTTTTTATATCTACATGTTTAGTTAATCAAAAATAGTAGAAAGAAGGCTGCATTACTCTTTAAACCACTGAAAAAAAACTAACAAGTCCCACTTTTCAGAAGATCTGAATTTACTAAGCCTTCCTTCAACTCTACTATTTTCCATTAACATTCTGATTTGGTTGTCAGAATAACAGAAGAAACACACTGCTGGCTCTCTTTCCTGAAACTTCTATCATTGCTGAGATTCTAACACTACCCCTTCAGAAAACCAAAACTGGTATATTCTAAGTCTTAAGCTTCAAGAACTCACTGGTCTTGTTTGAGATCACTAATTTCAAGTTGACCTTTCTGATGCCAACAGTCACAGCATATTTTCCTATTTCATATACTCAATTTAACTCTCTAAGACCACATTTTCATAAATTCAACTCTCTTCAAACCTCAGTATCTTCTCTTTTATCCTCATTCTTAGTTCATGATGTGGTAAACAGAAGAGATCTTCCATTAGTCCCTACTACCATAGTGATAAAAAGAATTCTGGTATGTCCTAAATTAAGTCACAAGTCAGAGAATGGACAGAAGAAGGAGTAAGAAGTTCATTTTAATTCATAACATCAAAGTAAATCAACAAAGAAAAAGAAAAACCTGCACCACATTCTTTTCCTGTATCCTGAAGATTATCTATCAAGGTAATACTGCATTCTGCTTTTGGAACCAACCTAGAAGTAGCAAAAACTTCTCTATATAGATGGTCATCCCATCCCAGGACTTTTCCCCTTCGTGTTGTCTTACACCCTTATCTACACTCAATATAGGTTTAATGTAAATGACTTATACTTTTCTCCCCAAATTTCTTTATAAATAACCTTGGTCCTTGAGGTCCAGTGAACATTTTTTCAACTGCTATCTGGCATGCCACTGACAGTTTAGGAAATCTGGTCCTTTTAGCTTTCGTTAGAATCTAACAGCTCAATAAACCCTTTATTTCACAGACCACTTAGTCTAAATTTTGATTTAACAATATCTATCTACCTGCTTCTATGTCCAAACACTCCACCTTCTCCACCTTCTCTATTATTACTAAAGATAAGTTTCCTGTATTCTTCTGTGGGTAGCCTTCTATACTTGTCCATTAGATCTTATCCCCTTTCATCTATTCCAAGACAGTCCTCCAATACTTCTCCCATCTCCTACATTACCAATGTTTTCTCTATAGATCAGTTTGTCAATATACAAACATTATTCATTCCATTAAAAAAAGATCCCTACTCAGACCTCACAGTGCCCTCCTGCTATCACCTCTCTACTCTCCTTTTCATACACCAAATGTCTCAAAAAAAACCAACCCTATTTTATGTCTATCTCCTTGATCCTACTCTAGATGTGTTACACAGGTGCTATACATGCTTCCTTGCAAACTACAAAAACTGCACTTTTAACAATCTCCAATGGCCTACACGTCATCATATCTGATGGTCACTTTTAGCATTACCTGATTGCTCAGTAGCATTAACAGTTGATCATTCTTTCCTCCTAGTTATGCTTTCTTCACTTATTTTACAAGGCACTACATATACAGGGATTTTCTCCTCTTACTCTAGCTGCTCTTTTGTGGTGTCCTTCACAAGTATTTTCTCATGCCACTGACCCCGAAATGCTGTAGTACCCCAGAGTTCAGTGCCAGGGTCTCTTTTTTTTCTCCAGCCACACTGACAGCTTGGCATTCTCATTTATCTTCATTTTAAATATCATTTTTACACTGATGACTCCAGACTAAGCCTTATACTTGAATTTCAGACTTATAATAAAGGACTGCTTTTTGGAAGTGTCTACTTCAATATCAAATATTCATTTCCAATCATATACGCCTAAAACTGAGCTCCTGATTTCTCCCCTGAAACACAAACTCAAATCCTTTTTCTCCATTTTAATAAATTGCTACTCCATTTTTTCAGGTGCTCAAATAAAAACCTTTGAGTTATCCTTTATTCCTACTTTTTTTTTTTTTGGTACCGGGGATTGAACTCAGGAACTTGTGTTTGCAAGGCAGGAGTGGTGCCACTGAGTTAAATCTCCAGCTCTCCTTTATTCCTACTTTTCACAATCCATCTCCATCCTGCTTAAAGTTTGTTGGTCACATCTCTAAAATATAGATTGCTAAAACAGATCTACTCCCATCCCCCTCAGCCTATTGCATTGATTTCTTCAACTCTAATAATCCTTTTATTCTCAAACAGCTACTTTCCCTGCAAAGATAAAACCATCACATTTAACAGCCAATGCAAATGTAACCTTCCCTACCTCTAACCCAAGGCATTTCTCAGAGGTCCTGGTATACTGTTATTCTGTCCATCCTTCATAGTCTCTCCATAGCAACTAACAACTTTTACCAAGCAAAGAATGAAAACAGCATAAGGTGCCTTTACTGCCTCTACATATTACCGTTGCAACTAAAGTAGTTCACAAACAGCACGTAGGAGATTATTTCCTTCTCACTTCCCCAATGGTGTACCACATCCTCATGTTTTTTCTCTATTTGGCATATTTTCATATACCATGGAGTTCCTTTCAGAAATAACCAATTAGAGCATGAACAACTTAATTCTTTTTTTCTTTGATTAGTACATATTTGCAGTACATAATGATTACACTTATTGTGGGAAGATGGCACATGTACATAACACAATTTAATTTTCTTTTTCCTCCCCTAATCCTCTCATCCCTCCCTGCTCCTTCCAACTCATGGTCCCCTCACCTATTTACAAATGCTCTAGTTCCTTATGTTTCTCCTTCAACTCTTTTTTCATCTCTCTCCCCTCCTTCTCCCTCCATCTCTTGTTCCCATTCCTATATGAAAAACATCTTACTTCCTATTATCTATCTTTTATTTTGCTCTTTATTTATATTTTAGGTTTCTCATATAAGAGAAACTGTGTTATTTAAGCTTACATGTCTGATTTATTTCACTTAACATTATGGTCTAGAGGTACATCCATTTACCTATGAATGCCTCAGGCTTATATTTCATTATAGTATTCTGTTTTATATAAATACATTTCTTTTTAAAATAATGAATTAAAAATGTTAAAATGACCAAATTATTTCAGTTGCTTCTAATAGCATACTCGAGAAGCAACTGGGAAATGATCTCTACAGATGCCAAATAGGATCAAGTTTCCAAATGATGGTGCACATTATCGATAACAGCAGGCAGGAAAGGAGAAAATAGTGGATGCAGGGGAGTCATTTTCATTTGTGCTTTAGGCACCTTAATTAATATGTTTCTGTCTTTTGACTAAAGGTAATTGATGTAGAGTTTTAACTTTTATTCTAACAGTCATTTAAAACAGTTGCTTAGACACATAGGTTTTACATTACTGGTATTTGAACAAATGTGTGGACTCATTCTTTAAAGGAAAAAAACAAAGCAATAACACATACCCCTAGGAATTCTTCCTGTTCCTTGACAAGTGGGGCAAGTGACACTATCTCTTCCTGTAAATTCCACATATGGAAACTGAGAGACATCTCCATTTCTTCCATCTTCATTATGGACTTCATTATTAACCAATCCAGTCCTCATATTTTCGGTTGATGTGACTCCATCATAAGTATCTTCTTTATTTGGATGCAAAGGCAAATGAGAAAGAGACTTTCCCATGTCTAATGAAGAAGGAAAATCTTACAGTAAACTTCAAGGAAAAACTATACTCAAAAACCTTATAGTATACTTATATAAATCTAATTCATTTAAAACTTCAAGAACGTGTTTAAACTACTTTTGGGATTAAAATTAAATTCAATCAAATACTGTCTGAAAGAAGGACACAATTTATTAGAGTCCAGAAGTGTATTTCTAACAAAATATTATGACAGGACATCTTATGAGACTTATGATGAGAATGGGCTTTCAAATGCTAACATTTGACAAAAGGCTACATCTTCAGGTTTCCTACCAAGAATACAGGCTTCATTTTTGTTAGAATAGAACAAAGACACATTATATCTTTGAACTGGTTGGCACTAAAGGCAAAAGGTGCTTTGGATAGATTACAACTAGATATTATGTGTAATATTAGGTAATTTTAAACTGGTACTTTCCAGTCATTTAAAATTCACATGCTTTTGAGGAAAGTCATCACTTCCTTCTTTTGATAGCTTGCTTCAAACATTTTAACATTTGCAGCAAAAACCTCAAAAATGCCAAATCATATAAATTTTTCTTTTGGTTCAGCGGGTGGCAATTAAAATTATAAGGCAAATACCCCCAAATATAAAATATAATTTAGCAATACAAAGGAGCAAATTTAGAACATTAACTTAAAACTTTGGGAAAACTATAAAAATAACACAGGGGAAGTTAAATATAAATTTAAAACCCAAGTAAAAATAAATAATTTGGTTCCTGTTTAAAACAAAACCAAACCTCTGTAAGTAGGTACAATTTCAAAATAGAAAAGAACTTAAAACTCATGTTATCCAACCTAATATTGAGAAAAGAATAATGAAAGAGGACTCAAATACAGTGTAAACAGCAAGATTAAAAAAAAAAAACTATACCAGTATTCAAACTTAAAATTGTAGAAAGAGGAATAAAACATTTTTTCAATGTACACATTGTCCACATAAGTTCAAAAACATACATGATTTGTAATATCTAAAAAGGCATTATTTTAGTTTCGTCCTGTGGCTGTTAATCCAAGCCAAACCAACACTTGCCAGCCACAGGTGTTTCTGAGGTGAATGTTAATCATCACCCTCCCCACAAATTGTCATCTGGGAGTTTATGTGGATCACAGGGCCTCAGCAGCAGGGTTACAGTCCTGGGACGGGGAACAACACAACAGCGATGGCAGGTGCATCCTTCTTGGAAACCTTAGAGAGAAACCTAAGGGGCTCTAGCTCCTGGCTGGTTTTCTAGTCTAACAGCTAGCTTAGCTGATTCTGTTTTAGGCAGATTGAAGATGGGCCAGATTTAGCCAGGTACAGCACTGGGAATCTCCAAATTTCCCACTAGATTTTCCTCAGACCACTGACAAGTTTAAGCACTTTTATGTTTGGAGGCATACTATTTTTAAAAGAATACTAGATCCCTTTCTCCTCGATTATCGCGGTTTCTTAATTTCCAGAAAGATTCTCACATTCCTTAGGGAGCGGGGTATAAATACAGCATTCCGACCAATTTAAATGGGCCGAGATCTTTCTGTGCAGATACTGGCTTCGTTCTGAAAGTGCTTGAGAACGAAGGAAACGAACACCTATCAAAAATCGCAATAAACAAAATCCAACACACAGACCACTCAGTGAAGGTTAAAAATGAGTTCCCGTCAACCGTGCAAGAAAATTCAATAACAAAAACAAGCAACAAGGGCCACCTGGCTGCTCAAGGCGTAGGGGCCTAGAATGGACCCGGAGCCTTGGGCTTGAATGAAGCTGGAGACAGCGGGATGGGGTAGGTCGAGAGCAGGCGAAAGAACAGTTCCAGCCCGGGCCTTGCTTAGCGCCGGGCCCAAGGCCCTGCTCCCCGGCGGCTTCCCCTCCTCCACCTCCTCGCCTGGCCCGAGGCGCCACCGCTCAGCCCTACTCCGCAGGGGGACCCGGGGGCTCCTCGCCGGGGTCGCTCACCGGCACGCGGGGCGCTTCGCAGTCCCGGGCTTCAGGGTCACGGAGGCCGCGGTCCCGGGGGCAGGGGCTTGAGGCAGCGGCGCAGATCGCAGGGCAGCCGCGGACTCTGGCGGGGGAGGGGCAAGGCGAAGATGGTATCAGCTGAGCCCGGGTGCCGCTGCAACTGCGCCTGCGCCTGCGCCTGCCCGGAGCGCGAGGGGCTGACGGTCTCCTGGGAAGGGTGGTTGCCGGGGATCGCGGTGACGCCTGATCCCTAAGACCGGCCGCCTGGGCCCAGAAGCGCTGCTGCGGGTAATGAGGACTGTACAGGTTCTGTCATTTTCGTGGCCCTAAACCTTAAAGTTTGGCCGCTCCAGGTTTAGGTGGCTTAATAGATACCCCTTTCCCCGCCAGGGGGGTGTTTGCTTGTGCCAAACGGGAAAATGTGCTCCTTCTGACTGAGCTTTTCACTGAGCAGTCTCCTCGCCAGTCTTCTTCGAGTAGTCGCTGACCGCCCTCCCCCCGCCCCGCCTCCCGGGAGAATGATAAACTGGTAGGTATTCCCTCCTCTGGCAGTCAAAGCGTTCCATGTATTTTAATTTAGAAAAGCTTACCCAGTAAGAGGAAACCACAAGTGAGTAGGACCCCTGCTTTTGGTTTGGTTTGGTTTGGTTTTAGTTTTATTTCTACACATGCCGTCCTTCCCACCTCCATTAATTTACAAGAAGTGTAACCGAGACCCCAGCCCAAATCCCAGTGCTTCAACTCAGCCTTATGAATTGGGGTTACTGTTCCAACTTCGCCAAGCCTAGGATTTCTCTTTTAGAAAACAATAACACTTATTTCGAAGGTTCAGTAAGACACTGGTAGTAACCATCAAGGACAACTATACCTTTGGAGAGTTTAGCATTAAAAGGTAGTATAATAACAAATACATCTGAATGCTGACAGCAACCAGCTGTTTTGCAAAAGTGTCTTACTTAGAAATTTGCTGTTAAAAACTGTCAAGAGACAAGTAATTTGTAATTATTCTGCTCCCTTAATTAATCTGAAGTACCCAATTTATCAGTTATTGATAAGTAAATCACAGCCCACCCCCTTTCACTTTCAGGCTGGTTAGGGTATATTAGAAAACTGGGACTTAAAAGGATGAGTTTTTCTATCTGGATTTCAGAGCTAAGTCCCTAGGTAGCAAACTATTTCCTGCAACAACTTGGCCTACATTCAGTGGTAGTAAAGTTCTTGTTCTGTTGACACAACTGCCATTCCTTATCTTTTAAAAACTATAAAAACTATGGCTCATATTAAATTCTGCAAATAATTCAACTCTCTGAACCTCTTGATTTTTATGTCTTTGAACTCTTGAGGCAGAATTGTTTATATCTCTCTAGTCTAATCCATGTTTCACACCTACAGAGAACTAAACTTCTCTCTTCATGTGCTAAAATTTCCTTTCCTAAATATGAATTTGAAACTAAGTAGTTACTTGATTTTCATCTTTTATAGAATCTATGTCATAATAGTAATTTGTAATGAGAATAATTGTAAGAGTTTGATGTTTATTGAATGAATGTATACTATTGTATCAGGCATTGTATGAAATGTTTTATATCGTCTCATTTAATTTTTATAGAAATGCCATAGATGAGATTCTATTACTATCTCACATCCTTTTTTTAAATAGAGGATTCAGGGTACTATCACTGGACCATGGCCATGCAACTAGCAAATGATAGAACTAAAACTCAGATATTATGATTGTAAAGTCTAAACGGCTAGCCACTGTGACATGAATCTATGATTATGGTACAGTGTGATAGGGACTGTGATAGGGATTTGTACCAGGATGCATAGAGAAATGTTGTATGATTCAGACTTAGGGATTACAAAGGGCTTTTGGGAAGAAGATATTTGAGGAGTTACAAGCTGAGTAAAGCCAGAAATGGAGTTGCAGGCAGAAAGAGAACATGCATACACACCTTGCTGTGTGAAGGAGTATGGTATATTTATATATGTACTTCTGTATAATGAGCATAACTGTGTGTGCGGGTGTAATAAAAAATGAATATAGGTTGGAAACTTGAAAACAAAGTAGTCATAAAGGATCCTGTGCTTTAAGTTAGGAAGATATGACTTAATGCTAATTATTATGGTCATACATGCATTTCAAAAATAATATTCTAGAATCATTGCATTAATAGGTTGGGTGGAAGGGAAATTGAAGATTGAGACATCAGAAAATAAATGTGATGAGAATCCAGGGCAAAAGAAAGGTTGACTAAAGGACAGAACATAAATGCCTAAGAATAATTGGGAGATAAAATCAGCAAGATTTCCTTATCATTGAATAGTTTCTTTTTTTTCATTTTTTTATTAATACCTGCTTGCCTTATATCATTATATTCCTTCTGGGGAATTCGTAACGGTACGTAACAATTCTTTTTTTCAGTACATTTCTCACTCCTCGCTCTTCCATCTCTTGATCTCCTTCCCATTTGAAAAAGATCTCACTACTTCGTATTGTAACGACTATTTCTGTACAAAATGAGCTTGTGGTTCCATGAATGACAAAATTAAATTGTGAACCAAAGAAGAAAGCGATGAGAGTTTTATTGGAAATAATAAGAGAAAACTTGTGCTGAATGTTTATTGTAAGGGGATTTTGAACAGAAATCCACCTTTGTCCTAATCTTATATGCATAAGTAGAGCACGAGAAGGGGGTTTGTTTCAAAGGATATGCGTTCAAAAGAAAACTGGTTAATTGTATTTGTTTTCTTCAAGTCTTGTTGAAATTTGAGTCTGGAGGTCAGAAGGAGCTGTTGAAGCTCCTAGCTAATTTAGCACATGCTCGACAGAGTCTTCTTGAAGGGAAGGGTCTTTACCTGTCTGTTTTCATCCTAACCTTTTATCCTTTGTTTTTTGGGTTTTAATTTATTTTTCTAAGCTTAACTGGTGTTGTATTTACTTTGCTCTTGTTGCTGAGACAAAATAATCGACACCCAAAGTTAAATGGTGAAAGATTTATTTAGCTCACAGTTTATAGAGGTTTCAGTCCATAATAGACTGGCTCCAAGGCAGGGTGGTATGCAGACAGCCATGGAAGAGGAGGGCAGAAGATAGCAATGCAATAAAGGACAAGCACAATTCTTTTATCCCATATATATTATTCAGGCTCCTTAGGGCAGGTAGCAGTCACACCCTTTATCCTAGTGCCTTGATCTAGCATTGCACCATGAATTAATCTCAGCATTTACACACTCTATATCCAGCCATCTCTGAAAAAGCCCCATCTCTGACTGCATGAGGCTTTGGGAGTACATTTAGACACAAGCTGTAACAACTGGCTACTTAATTAAATGACTGCTTTAATTTTTTCATTAGGCTGTTCTAACTGGCTACTCATAGTAACTAAACTCCTACATCATCATCGTCGTCATCATCACCCCCTCTCCATGCACTCTGAAGAAGTGGTCCCTAACTGTCATTAGAGGAGAAGGGGTTAAGACTACTCTGGCTGCTTCAAGCTGAGAAGGATGAGACCTCAACAAAGGTCAGTTTGGAATTCAGCAGCAGAGGTCACTCTTCAGAGGGTCCATCTAACAGACCTTGGTGAAAGGAGTCTGACACATTCATTATTGTTTCCTTCTACAAGACCATTTGAAGTTGGACAGATTCTAACCAAGAAGAAAGAAATTTTACTAAGAGATTTAGAATGCACAACACAAATGTAAGGACCAGAATGAAAAGACAAATGGGTGTGATTAGAGGAAGGAATCGGGTCCAGACACTGTTCTTAAGGCATTGGAGTAGGAGTTGTAATCCATTGGGTCCTAGATCTGCCTGCTTACAGAGGTAACCTGTTTTAAGTCTGACGTTTACTTTTATGGTTTTAGGGTCTTCCTCCACCAGATGTGAGTTATTTATTAAAGACAACAAGTTTCATTTACTAGTGTGCAATTCCACCCAATTTCGACCATAAGATTGAGAGCTCTGCAGTTTTTTGTTTTTTTTTTTTGGTACCGGAGATCAAACTCAAGTCCTTGCGCTTGCAAGGCAGGTGGTGAAATCACTGAGCTAAATCCCCAGCCCAAGCTCTGCAGTTTTAAAGGAGTATTTCAGCTAAGAAATTTAATGACTCTTGCTTAGATTCTATAGGTTTCAACTGTGGGTTGAAACCTTGTTGAACTGAAATACTGTGGTTTAGGACTGATCTTTCTAATAGAGTGCTTGTAAACCAAAAGAATCATCTGGCAATTGTATGTCCTATACCTGGTCTCTATAGTGTGGGGTTATTAAGTGAATGTCTTCCCCAATCACATTTTTTCAGTCTTGTATAAGAGAGCATATTAGATATGTCTCTTTTATGCTGTGATTACAGAGACCATTCTAAGGAGAACCCTAAATTGAGGACCTGGCCTGAAGAAGCCATCTCTTAGTACCTTAATCTTTGGAATAGCTGCAACTACAGTACAGGCACCTTTCCATTTATAGGGTAGCACTAGGTATAAGTCTGTCCTACATAAGAAATCCAGTTTCTTCAAGGGAGAGGCCCTGAGCATTCCCAGGGGATAGGATAGAATGCTTCATTTGCGGCCAGTTTCTCAGAGCTACATACTATATAAAAGAACAATCACAGGAAAGAGCTCTTTTGATAACCACAATTGGTCTCTATGTAAATATTTCCATGGGACAAATCCATTGAAGCAAAGTGTTTGCAAACAAAGTGGTTAGGGTTCTAAGAGCAAACTGAGCATTGGAAGAGCTTTGAAAGAATATTTACTAGGTGAGGAACATAGAGGGACTGGTTACAAATATCCTGAGTTATGACAATCCTGGTATATTGGCATCTAAGAAGGGAAAAATTAAAGTAGCACTTAAGCATATGTTACATAACCATGCAGTTAGTTAATCCCTGGCAATTGGGCTTTAAGTCCCTGAACTCCATCCACTGGCTTCTTAATTATCAGATTTGCCATATATCAGGGGCCAATGCAGAGTCCCCCCAGGCAGCTCTTCCATGAAAGTTTCTATTTTCTTTCTGGCACAGCCAAATGCTGTCTTGATAATATAAGGTAATGTTACAGAATTTAAGCAATAACCATACTACTTAAGAGGATCCTTTATGTGATTGCAGAGGGAAGCAATCAACTCAACTGCTTGTCCCA